CCGTATTGACAGCTACCTTGACTGTTAGCGATTTCAGCGGGACGATTAATAGAATGTCTTTTAAATATGTGGAAGCAATCTCATATAGATCCCGAATCATAATCATCCTATTAAACAAGCATGTTTACTACGGCAATTTACTTGGTTGTGGCTAGCAAGAGAAACCAGAAGGTGTGTTTTGTCCTGTTTGGGACTTATCAGCTAGATGTAGCTGCATCCTAGTGAGTGATGCCGTACCCACCGAGATTCAAGCCTCGTACCCATCGCTTCAAATGCCACAGCATCATCCATTAGGCCACTGAGGCGCGATAGCCGTAACGATAGCGATGGTTTGTACCATTTAGAAGATATTTCAAAAACGTGCGTTCTGGATTCTTCTGCTAGCCACAACCAAGTAAATTACTGTGATAAATAATCAGGTAACATCGCCTAAAGCTTTGGGAGTTTATGACTGAGAGTGAAACAAGTTTACAAACACTATCTTAGATTTCCAGTGGTACTTGGTCCTACTTGAATGTGATATGCTTCTAGTAAAGTCAGTTCATGTACAATCGAATAAAGGGTGGCCTTTTCGTTATCGAAACTCACTCATTTCTTTGATAGGCATTTATAGAAGGTTTCAAAACTGCTGAAGGTTGAACGCAGTTAAGCACCATCTAGGTATTTTTAATTTTTTTAAAACCTGTTTGTAATGAAATTAATTCAACATATCTTACCTCACTTATCGGGAAACTGTTACTTTTGAGTTCAAACTCTTTGCTGTAGTTATTTGTAGTAAACAGCACCCCTGTAACTAAATCCAGAACTCCTGAACCATTAAATTGGCTTCAAAATGCTCTCATTCAAGCGTAATTCATCCTGACTATGAAGAATTCAGTCCAATTAAGGAACTCAGTAATCCACGAAGTTCAGTGCAACTGCCATGATAACCAGATGTTTTGCAGTTAAGATCTTCCTTGAGTTCTGTTAATACAACAACAGAGGCTTGCATAGTTTTAGCTTGATATGTCAGTAAACTGACTGATTTCTGTTTAATGTAAGCAGCGTTGAATCTGAAATAATATTGGAAATTTATGAGATTTTGAAATAACTTCGAGAAAGATCGTATAACACAGACAACTTTTCTAGTAAAAAGGATTGCGCTTCCTTAAATTTACCGTGTGACTTATTAATTGAAACAGTTCTCCTCTAAAACCATATCCAGCTGAGTTAGCCATGAGAGTTTATATCGGTCGTAAAAACCAAGTCAGAAGATGGTATAGACACTGGAGTTGCATCTTTTATGAGTTTATTATCTCATTAATCATGTGAGAATCTCAGAGCAGATAGCTACTCTTTAATAAAAGGCCTGTGGAGTCTTTATTCATTTATAAAGTTGAAAAATTGATCAGATTCAGTGCAGTTGCTTCAACTGCTTTAGTGACGTGGTATGGTTCAAATGAAGCGCTATGGTTGGTACATTTAAACGTTTTCAAAATGTATAAGTTTCATATAAACTGTTATAAAATTTGTGAATATGACATAATAGGGTTCGTACTTACAACAGTTTAGTAACTGGAATCCATACTGTACACATGACTTAGCGAGTATTGCGAGCCGATAATTTTTAGGTTCTAGCAGTCTGTCAAAATGCTTTTCATTTACAACACCACAATAGAATGTATTACTTAAGGTTTCTTACTAACTGGTGGGCCATGCATCATAAGTTGGCCAGTAAAGTAAACATTTTAACTGCGTTGTAGCAAACATCGGTTGCAGTTATCACATGAAAGTGTCAAGTAACCTAAACTATAGGGTATATGGAAGTTGAGTTGAAAGCAATCGGTTTATTGCTAAGTAGTTTGTAATGTTTCGCATTTACCAAACAGCCAACCAGATGCCTAATTATTGATACAAGTTGCTGAAAGTATCACTTCCAAGATAATAACCCTCGAAAATCCCCCATTTTCTGTCTTTCTTTATGCATGCGTTTGTGTGTATTTATATTGGATCGCTTCACAGCTTATAGGCTCACTGTTGATATATACTTTACATCCCCTTTAAAAGTAGGCTGATTTATACTAACTCCCTCTACTATTTATATCAGTTACACAAAACAAACTGTTGATAAATTTGTCTACTTTGAAGACAGTAGAAAACACTGTTTACTAGCCTGGGAGGTTCACTGGAGGAGGATACTAACCAGGTTGGATAGTTACAAACAATACCTCATTTTACTTCCAAAGCTTTCGTATCATCATGAATCTATCAACTAAATAAGTAATTTCGATAATCGATAATCTTTACATAGAGGCTCATCTATCATAAACAGTCTTGTTTTTGCGTGTAAACATGGATTCATTTATATATTGTCTTAAATTTTTGCTTTAACGTAATGATTTTATACATAAACAACAGATGTGTTTTTGTGAAACATAGATGAGTTTGGTTCTGTCTCACATGAAATTTGTAGCCTGAGCGAGTTTGTCTACTCTTCATTTATTTTTTCTTAAAGAATACTTTCTTGTCTTTCAGCTGAGTCAGTTTTCTAGTATGCAGTTAAATATTGCTTCATAGACATACAAACATTGTGATATATTCTTGGTTTATCTGAACATCACTATTTGATCCGGTAACATGATTAGATAATAATGTATGTAATATGATTGAATTTTATAACCTGAAGAGTAATTATATTTGAAAAGAAAAAAAGCGTTTGAAGTAGATTTACCTTAGTTATTTGCCTACAATTTTAAAAGAAACAATGATACATGTAAGCAAAGCGGTAGAAGAGTATTTCATGAAATGGAAAATAATAATATAGAACTGAGAATTGAAGGCAATAAAATGCATAGATCGATATGATATATGCTCATTAAACTTGTTTCGAATAATGTACATAAATTAGAAAATGAAGAGCAATCATGCCGTTAATGTATCTAATATACAGTAGATGTGATAACAGTTCGTAGATATTGCTGAAGGCTTTGCATACTTGTTAAAGTCATAAGTGTCAAGAAGTAACCTTCATTACCCTTTTCTCGTACTTGTAAGCTACACATTTTTCTTTCCTAGCTTACCCTAAATTCCTTTAACCTTTTTAAACGCTTATACTCTCTGACCAATTCCTAATTATCTTATTTTCACAGTCTAATTCATCACAGCAGCCAACATTTTAACATTGTCTCTTCTTCCAAATCCTGTTATACTTTAGTGCTATCGACAGAAACTGACAGAAGAGTTTAGCAGAGTAATTGAGTAGTTTCATTTATTCAGGCGCTCACAAATTCACACCCCACTCTATGTAACGCATACTTCCTTGTCTAAATCAAGGCTTGAGCGCTTAATAATAAGCCAAAGTATGTTTAGTTCTCTATGTTTTAACAGACAGCAAGTAGTCGAAGAAAGTTTGATGAAATGAAAGGAATAATTGTCTGTCCGTAAAAACTCCAATCCACAACTTTTCTAAGATATGCAGAAGAAGTCTCTCGAAAAATGCCTTTACAAGTAGGCAGCATTCCCAGAGGCTTGCGGGAACTTTGATTCCAACTAAGCATTCAGCAGTGACTGGCATAAGTTGAAGAACGACTGAAGACCGGGGAGCATCGAACAGCTGTTTCGATCTCTTATGGGATTCCTCATTAGTAAGCAATAATGATTTTGGCACTAGAAGGTATACACGATATGTGTCTCTCTTTTTCAGTTAACTTCTAGCTCTGTATCATGATCACTTTAGTGGCTATTGTTTTGCTGGCTGAACTACATACAACTATATTTTAAGACAGTCCTAACTAAGTTACCAAATAAAGGTACCAATTAAGGTGTGTCAAATCTCTTGGGGTTTTACGAAGAATTCCCTGATCGACATCATTTATTATTCCAAATAAATACCTTTTTCAGTATTATAAATGATGTGATTCTCTGCTTCACGACTATCTCTTCTTTGATGACAACTTGTGTATTGTAACTAGTTCTACAAATTATTTCGAAACTTGTTCCATTAAGTCTGTTCTCTTCTAGATCGAACTTTGAAATCTAATGATGCTGTATACTTTGTGCTTCTCATCGAATCAGGACACTGAAGTTTTAGGTAACTTTATGAAGATCCACTATGTCTCTGTATATCTAGCTTCATCAAATACACATAATAGTGCAACGAATGCAGTAAAATTTCAACTTAAAGCACTGTCTCCTGCTTTAAGCTTCTAATGACTGATAATCTGAGACCACAATAGGCTGCATTAAACCAAAGGATCTTAATAAGCGTCTGTTATTTCTTTGCCTCATGTGTTTTGCCCTCCCGCACAAACGGTCTTCATTAAATATAACTGCGTCCTGTTAAATGTTCACAACCAAAAGCGATAACTTCAGTATAGCGGGAATCAGAAAAAAGTTACTGTGAATTTACAGTATAACTTTTGTCTATGCACTAATTGGTTCCAGCAACAGTATGCCTTGATGAAATTTTTCCAAACAGTATTCAATACTCCACCTTAAATTTCAGTGTTCATTGAAGTTAAAAACACCCAGGCCACCAATATGATGTAACAGAAGAGTTGTAAAGAACAAAGTCTCATCATAATTGACGTTAGATGGTAGGAATAATAAATATGGTGTCATAAATAAACTCCACTTTCGGCTGAGCCTTAAGAATTGCTTCCGTTTTTCTAACACCGAAGGTCATAATTTACATCAGCTGCAGACCAAATAATGGTTTCACTTCAGCCACCAAGCTTTTTGCCTTATTGTTATATGAACTCGTGATACGCTAGTAACCGTTTGTCTGATTCCTACTGGCTGCCCAGCCAAGATTTAGCATCCCAATCCGAGCTGAGCTGAACCAGAGAGGAAAGGCATCATTTTAAATATTAGTTTGACTATCTAACAAACAACGGCTCTCTCAGATAGTCAAACTGATAAAAAAAACAGTATCTATGTTCACGGAGTAATAACTACCAGGTAAGCTGTAATGTTGGCCCTAGTAATTTTCATTTCATCCTCACATATTTTTATTAATACAGATGACACATACAGATATAACCTGTTCAAAGATGGTCATCAGATACTTTGAAACTCTCATCAATATAACACGAACGTTTCAAGATGATTTATGTGGATTACCTTTACTTGATGCATTTTATACAACCAGTTTATTTGATTGCCACAATTATACTCAACCAACTTACTCTTCGTCATCAATAAATGATTATCGTGGACAAGTGAATATAACTAGTGTATATCAATTCCCATCTCATGCACATTTATCTTCATGGCTTCAGGTTAATTATCCACATAGAAGTAATCGCACACTATTACTTCATGATCAAATAAATAATATTGATAAAAATGTTTATGATATGATAAATAATCCCGCACTTCTTGAACTACAGGTTATACAATTATTTTTCTCAAACGCAACAAACAGTTCAAAATTAAAAGATATTTTAAGAAAATACTTGAAATTATTATCAGCTAAACGTATGCAAATGACTACACGAACTAGCAGTACTCGGTATGGATTATCCTTAGGATCTCATCTTCCTACATCATCTTCCTCAGTAACCAGTTCTCTGACATCGTCACCGTCATCACCATCATCAACTTCATCAGATGCATCCTCGATTACCTCCTCTTCTTTATCATCATCTTCAGCATCTTCTGCTTCCACATCAGTTCTACATTCATTTCGATTCCCTGAACGAGTGAATTCATTAACATTATCAAACGATGACCCTAAAGAACTTCTGTGTTCATCACAAATTCAAATTCATATCGATTCAATATACAATGTTAAATTAGAGAAATTAGGTGAAAACATTGCTACGTGCTTGCAAAGGTTAGAATCATTTCAAACAAGTATGAACTTGATTATCCAGTGGAATAAGCCTATAATAAAAACATTTTCAATTGATGTTGAACATTCACAAAAGCTTAATGAAGCAAAGTAAGTTAGGAGGTATGTATTGCTTTTTAACCTGTGCCTTTTTAACGTTTCGATCAGAAACTATCAAAGTAGTTTAGCTACTTCACAAACTGTATCTAAACGAAGAATTTGAACACGTTTAACAAATATGATAACCATAACCGTTACTGAATACTAAATTTTCTGAAAATGCATAGTCTTAAAAATTATCATTTTGACTATCTGAGATAGCTGTGGTTTGGCAGACTAAGAGATCCAGGACATCGCAGATCAGTTGGTAGAGGGTTGATCTGTAAACCCGGTGGTTGCCGGCTTGAATCCGGCAAGGTTCTAATTTTCATTCCACTTTCAATCATCACCCAGTATAAATCTTAAAAATGATGAGTAATTTCTTTTCCATTCAATGGTTGCAATTGTTAATACTCTCGAATATCACTGTCAACACCAGACTTCAATAGCCACTTTTTTACTACACGAATAGAAAATCACACTGGAAAACATTAGAGGCATCTGAACCGTGAATTTGAATTAGGAAGTAAAAAATTTCTGACTTGTCAAGTAAAATAAGAAGTGAATATTGGCTAAAACTTTTATGATACCCTGATGTCTCCTAAAGATCCAAGTGACACTAAATTTAATAAAAGGTGGTATTCATTACAGACTGTAATCAGTTGAAGAACCATTGAGTATCTGGGAGTACTGAACAGCTGTTTCTCCCTTGTATCCAACTATTCAGCGGTGTGCACCCTGCTAGAGTTTTAATCTAGGGCATTCAGGTTTCGGTTACAATGACAGTACTGATCAAGTCAAATTATTACAATCCAAATCGAATTTATCTAACTACTCGAAAATATTTTCCTCATCTGCTTTCATATAAACATATATCTTTATGAAAATATTTCTACCAACATTTTTATTTTTTGATCAAGCTTTACAATGGCACTTATAATTGATTGTTAGTTGGATAGTTGCCCCTAAAAGTTGATCAGTCAATTCAATCACCACAAGGGTTGGTTGACTCAAATGGATAAAATACAAAAAGAATTATGCTCAAAACTGCATAGTTAATTTCGCAATAAAGATGATATAGGTGGAAGAATGAAAATTGTTGAAAAAGAATTATTTGATTAAAGGTCACTCATGAAACACACTGATTACTGGGGGCTAAACATATATCTGGTACTGGACATTACCGAGCTTATGCTGTCAAAAAGGAAGCACAGAACAATAGCACCTATCATCAAACCTAATATGGACTCGGATCATTTAACTCCTTGGGAATGACATTTTATGGCTATAAAAACGTAGCTCCAACCACTTCAAAAGCTTACCTTTTCGTCACCTATAGAAAACTAAATTACTAGACGCATGAACAGATGCCTAAGCTTGGCGTTCTAAAATGTTTCAGGAAACTGTAAATTCTACTTTTGTCTGAGTAGTATGCCTTCAAACCTCGTCTGGTTAACTAGTTCACTAGTTACTAGCAGGTCCTAAGCCCGAGTAAAGAGGGATGGTTGGGCATAAGGCTAGCAGCCCTACCCCAGAAAACCAGTCCAACCGCTACAGAAACTTCAAAACATAAAGAAAATATAAAACATAAAATAAAAATTATTCCTCGCTGGAATCGGAAAGGCGAAATGACGCTAGTTGGTGAAAGACTTCGGGAAGCCTACTGGCCGATGTGCCTTCGCTTCTCTCGATGAAAGCGAAAGTAAACATGGTGACATTGAATGTCTGCAATATGTTTGGACCGGGCAAGACTGCTCAGGTTGCAAAGGAGATGAGAAGTTGGGGATGCAGCCTATTAGACACAAGGTCAAGAAGAGGAGCAGATGTACGATCAGGCCACTATCTTGTGCAAGGACCCTACCTTCGAAATCAAGTTGAAAGCCTTCAAGGAAGCCGGTGATAGACCACAGCTCAAGTTCAACACCCGGAAACTGGAGCACGAAACTACAAAGGAAATCTTCACTTCATCCAGCCATCAAGACAAAATGGGAGACATCGAGCAACGTCCTTGAACAAACCTGTGTGGATGAACACTGGAACTCTTTGAAAGCCAGATGGAAAGAAACCTGCATAACCGTATTAGGAAGGAAGAATAAAGAAGATGAGGAATGGATCACGACGGACACATGGAAGCTGATAGAGCAGGGAGAGGAGGATGGTGAAGCAGAAAATAAACCAGTGCAAGGATGCACGGCGACAAGAGGAACTGAGTACAATGTATAAAACACTACACTGGAAAAGAAGTGAATAAGAGTGCATGGAAAGACAAAAGACACTTCTATGACACACTGGTAAGTGAAGTAGAGCAGGCTGCAGGTAGAAGAGACAAAGACTGACAAAATTGTATCAAATAACCGGGTTACTGTCTGGTAGTGAAGAGATCAACTCAGATGAAACCAACCGAAGATGATGAAGAAAATCCAATTATCGAAGGAGAGGAACAAAGGAAACGATGGGCTGACCACTTCAAGAAGCTCTTGAATCGACCATCACCACCACCTGCACTTCGTCCAGAAATACCACCAGCAGCCCTGCCACAGAAGTACAAGTGGACATAAGTCCTCCAAAAAAAGTCGAAGTCCTGAACGCCATAAAGCTACTGAAATGTGGGAAAGCAGTAGGACCAGATGGAATCCCGCCAGAAGCACTGGGATTAGACGCAGGGATAACAACGGACATACTTACACCACTTTTGCAGAAGATGTAGAAGGTAGGGAGGATTCTGCAGATTTGAAGGAGGGTTACCTTGTCAAACTCCCGAAGAAGGGTGACCTAAGTCTTTGCAAGAACTGGCGCGGAATCGTGCTCCTCTCCACCCCAACCAAAATATTTAGCCGCATCATCCCGGAGAGATTAAAGGATGCGATGGATTCAAAAATACAACTGATAGCTTGTGTCTAATGTCGTACTAACTCGAAGATCTATGGGCAGAAACTAACAAGTTGACAGAAGGGGCGAGACAGCGAAGACAGGACTTCAAGTGAACGTAGAGAAGACAGAGATGATGAAGATAATCAACCAACAACAACAAACTCCAATCACCATGAATGGGATAAAGTTAAAGGGAGTAGCCTCCTTCACCTAACTAGGCAGCACTGTCTCAATTATAGGTGGCACAGACGAGGACGTCAAAGCCAGCTTCAGAAAAGCAACATAGGAGTTCATTAGCCTGAAACCAGTGTGCAGATCTTCTGCACTCAGCAGAAAGTGTGAACAACATCCAGATTTTCAACACCAATATAGTCAAGTCGGTGCTTCCATGTGATGCTTCAGAGACTTGGTGCGTTACGACGGGCATTTCCAACAAACTACAGACATTCATCAGCAACTGCCTACACTGGCTCATTACTGAATCTCAGATGGCTAGAATAGTCAGAATAAGCAACAAGGAACTCTGGTTTGCTTGCAACGAACCAAGGAAGAAGCTATCGTTCAACAAATGTGCAGAAGGAAGTGGAGGTGGATTGGGCATACACTGAGAAGACCATTCGGGGACATCTCGCTCCAGGCACTCGAGTAGAACCTAGATGGGGAACGACGAGTTGGGCGTCCGAGAGTGACATGGAGGAGATGGTGTGAGGAAGAAATGAGAGCTTGTGGGCAGTAGTGGAGCCAGGTTGAAAAGACTGCAGAAAACAGAGTGGAATAGAGACGTGCTATTGAAGCCCTATGTTCCACTAGGAACGTAAAGGACAAATAATAATATAATATAGTACACCTACATTCAAGTTAGTTTTCTGGCACTTCCCCTTGTAGTGTTCTATCATAGGAGATTAGCATCTTTGTTTACTTCTCTTAATGAAATTTCTTCACTGTTTGCTTTCCTTACTACTGCACTGCACAAAAAACAAGAGTCAACTTTATTTTCTGTCGATTTCTGACAAGGTGGAACAATCCAGTAAACAGTTTATCAATCATATTTCATCGCTTACCTTCAAGCATACTGAATTCGGCTCACTCAAAATAACTGTGTTTACTCAATTTCTATGTAACAGATTGTTGTCTGCTTTTCATTATTATTACACTGGTTGAAGGTTTGTTGTATCTGTAAATCTCTCACGTCTTTCGAATTTCGCCTAACCATATTTATTATTATTATTATTAGTCCCTTGGGTTCCTAGTGGAACATAGGGCTTCAGTAGCACGCCTCCAGTGACCTCTGTTCTCTGAGATCTTTTGAACCTGGTCCCACGACAGCCCAGAAGCTCTCATTTCCTCCTCGCACGACCTCCTCCATGTCACCCTCGGACGTCCAACTCGTCGCTTCCCATGGGGATTCCACTCGAGGGCCTGACGCGTGATGTCCTCCGTCGGCCTTCTCAGTGCATGGCCAATCCATCTCCACTTCTTCCTGCATATTTGTTGCGTGATAGGTTCTTGGTTGGTTCGTTCCCAGAGTTCCTTGTTGCTTATTTTTTCTGGCCATCTGATCTTCAGCAGCGAGCGTAAGCAGTTGTTGATGAATGTCTGTAGTTTATTGGAAATGCCTTTCGTGACGCGCCAAGTCTCTGAGCCATACAAGAGCACTGACTTGACGTTGGTGTTGAAAATCCGTATCTTGTTCCGCATGCTGAGTGCAGAAGATCTCCACACTGGTTTCAGGCTAATGAACGCCTGTCTTGCTTTTCCGATTCTGACTTTGACGTCCTCGTCCGTCCCGCCTGTAGTTGAAACAGTGCTTCCTAGATAAGTGAAGGAGGTTACTTCCTTCAAGTTTCTCCCGTTGACGGTGATTGGAGTTTGTTGTTGTTGTTGATGGTGGTGGTGCGGTATCTTCATCACTTCTGTCTTCTCTATATTCACCTGAAGTCCCGTCTTCGCTGCCTCTTCTATCAACTTGTTAGTTTTTGCCTGCAGATCTTCAAGTTTATGTGACATTAGGCATAAGTCATCGGCGAAATCCAAGTCTTCTAGGTTCTTTTCCGTCGTCCAGTGTATCCCCCTCTTCTCGCTGCCTACTGTTTGCTGCATGATCCAGTCCACCACAATAAGGAATATCATGGGGGATAGTAGGCAACCTTGTTTCACTCCTGTCTTCACTTCAAAGGCATCACTGAGCTTCCCATTGTGGATTACTTGGCATGTGGCATCTTCATATAGTTGTTGAATGAGGCGGATAAAGGTTTGCGGTACTCCGTAGTATTGAAGCAGTTTCCAAATTACTTCTCGGTCGACGCTGTCAAAGGCCTTCTCAAAGTCGATGAAGTTGAGGTAGAGAGCTGATTGCCATTCTATGCTCTGTTCTATGATGATACGAAGCGTTGCAATTTGGTCTGCACATGATTTGTACTTCCTGAAGCCTGCCTGTTCCGGTCGCAGTTTTGAATCCAGTGCATCTTTAAGCCTCTCCAGGATGATGCGGCTTAATATTTTACTTGGGGTGGACAGGAGAGTGATTCCGCGCCAGTTCTTGCAAGCACTGAGGTCTCCCTTCTTCGGCAGTTTGACAAGGTAACCCTTCTTCCAATCGTCAGGTACCTTCTCTTCCTTCCACACCTTCTGCAATAGTGGTGTGAGCATGTCCGCTGTTGTCTCTGCATCTGTTCTCAGTGCTTCTGGCGGTATTCCATCTGGTCCTGCTGCTTTCCCGCATTTCAGTAGCTTTATGGCGTTCAGGACTTCCATTTTCGTTGGGGGATTAATGTTCACTTGTAGTTCAGCGGCTGCAGGTGGTATTTCTGGACGAAGTGCAGGTGGTGGTCGATTCAAGAGCTTCTTGAAGTGGTCGGCCCATCGTTTCCTCTGTTTCTCTTCTTTTGTAATTAAATTTCCTTCTTCATCTTTTATTGGTTTCATCTGTGTTGGTCTCTTCCCTGATAGCAACCTGGTTATTTGATACAATGTCGTCAGGTCTCTCTTACCTGCAGCCTGTTCTGCTTCACTTGCCAGTGTTTCGTAGAAGTGTCTTTTGTCTTTGCGTGCACTCTTCTTCACTTCTTTGTCCAGTGTTTTATACATTGTGCTCAGTTCCTCTTGTCGTTGAGCATCCTTGCACTGGTTTATCTTCTGCTTCACCATCCTCCTCTCCTCTATCAGCTTCCAGGTATCCGTCGAGATCCATTCCTTGTCTTCTTTCTTCTTCCTTCCTAATACTGTTGTGCAGGTTTCTTTCCACATAGCTTTCAAAGACTTCCAGTGTTCTTCCACACAGGTTTCTTCAGGGATGTTGCTCGATGTCTCCCATTTTGTCTTGATGGCTGCCTTGAAGATCTCCTTTGTAGTTTCATCCTTCAGTTTCCGAGTGTTGTACTTGGGTTGAGGTCTATCACCAGCTTCCTTGAAGGCTTTTAACTTGATTTGGAAGGTTCCTTGCACTAGGTAGTAGTGGTCTGAACCTACATCTGCTCCTCTTCTTGACCTTGTGTTAAGTAGACTGCGTCTCCATTTTCTTGAGATTGAGATAAAGTCGATTTGATTTTTAGTGTGTCCATCTGGTGAAATCCATGTCGCTTTGTGGATATCTTTGTGCCTGAACACACTGCCTCCAATCACCAAATCGTTGAATGCGCAGAATTCTGCAAACAATTCTCCATTCTCATTCATTTCACCTAGTGCCTCTCGACCCATGGTTAGTTCTCTTCCCGTGTTGTCCCCTCCCAGTTTGGCATTCATGTCGCCCATCAGAATTTTGATATCGCCAACTGACGTCTTGTCCAGTGTTGATTGAAGTTGTCTGTAGAAATCCTCCTTTTTCTCTTGCTCTGCATTATTTGTAGGTGCATAACATTGTATGATTGTGACCTTTCTTCCTTTTGAGTTGAATCTTGCTGTCATGATCCTGGAGGAGATTGGTTCCCACTGCATGAGAGCCTTCGATGCTCTTGAGGACATCATGATAGCCACTCCCTCAGTGTGCTCGTGGTTGGCGTCTGGGTGACCGGAGTAGATTATTGATTCTCCAGTTGACAGTTTGGAGAGTCCACTCCCATTCCATCTGCTTTCGCAAATCCCAAGCACTTCGATGTTATACCTTCTCATCTCCCTTGCAATCTGGGCTGCCTTACTGGGTTCAAACATCGTGCGGACATTCCATGTCCCCACGTTTACTTTCGCTTTCATCGAGAGAAGACACATCGGCCAATTGGCTTCCCGAAGGCTTTCACCAACTGGCGTCATTTCGCCTCTCCGATTCCAGCGGGGAATAAGTTTGTTTTCATTTTTTATATTTTGTTTGTGCTTTGAAGTTTCTTTAGCGGTTAGATTTGTTTTACGGGGTAGGGTTGCTAGCCCTATGCCCAACCTTCCCTCTTTACCCGGGCTTAGGACCGGCTAGTAACTAGTAAACTAGTTAACCAGGCAAGGTTCTAACCATATTTACTGTATCATTATTCAGTGGTGGCCTAATAGAAGTCATTTGGTCAGTTTCGCTTGGCATACGGCTTCTTTGTATGGATGTGACAGTGTAGCATTAGATTATAATTCCTTTCTTTTTTTCCTAGTAGCCAGCAAGTGTTTTTAGGACGTTCAGATTACCTTCTTCCCCATGATCAATCTGAGTTAAGAGATTAAGGCTTGTTACCTACTGCATCGAACTTATACGTGCTGTTTGATAACCTGTCAATGCATGGAATAGTTAGAAGTTAATTTTGTGTATTATTTGTACATGAATATTTATTGTATTAGAGAACAAATTAATGTTTAATTAATTCACATGCCGAATTTCTGTTTTTAAAAATATTCATTGCATTTACTGAAGATTTTATTTAGCTATGCATCTGTGGTTTTGATGCAATGCCTAAGCAGAAATGAAGGCCGGGGGAATATCTGACTTTTTATTTTAACCTGTTTAACTGTAAAACTTATGTTGGGTTTTAAGTGATGCTGTACTAGAGGAAGTCATAACGCCTACATTTGGCGTGTAATGCCAGTAGGGTAATGATATTACTGTAATTGACATCATTCAGTTGTTGGAAAAGACGTGTATATCCATTCAGTAAATGTACTAATGCATTGTTTTGGAAACGTCGCTGTAAATTTGAAGGTCAAAATAAACGCTGGGGATAAACTTTTTATTGGGACAAAAGTCATTAACCAACTAGTCTCATTTTTGAGTATACGAAATTGCAGGGATTTCATCAGTCGTAGTGTATAAAGTGGGAAAAACAACAACTTAGAACTGAGTGAAATGTTCACTTTAAAGTAAAGTATATAGTTTACTTTGAAGGGTAATAAATCTATGCATTGTACGATAAGAAATAAATGTTTACTAAGTGTATTCATTGTCTTATTTTCCCGTCTTTTAACAACATGTGAGCAAGGTGGTGAACAGTACAACTAGTAAGCCCATAGTATTTTGAGCTGATACCTACTAAGATTCAGGATGCATTCATCCACTTGAAAATGACTAAATCCGAATAACTGCCATTTATGTCAACTGAAAACATTCAAGATAGTAAAGTGCTTGATTGTCTCATCGTTTTAAATGAATTTCTGGCAATGTTAGCCATCAGAAGTACACAGTACAGTTTCTCCTTTCCTGAATTTAGGTTACCTTTAAAGGCATTCATGGATAGCGTTTTGAAGTCAAAACGTGTATGTTTTATGCTTCAAAGATGGTTTCCTACTCCAGGTAGGCTGACAAAAAAATCACAGTAGAATCTGTCACACAAGTGCATTGGTTCAAGTTGCCACAATTCATAGCAACACACAAAGAACAGTTGGACAGAAAAAGAGTGATATTGCAGTGAACAAAGTTGTGTCGGAGAACAAGCAATTTAAAGATAAAGGTTAGTGTGAATATTCAAAGTGAAGAATATGTCAAGGACTGAATACATCTACACCATTATCACCAATTAACGGCTATGTCAGAAAGACTTCTCAACACCTAACTCCTATCACATCGGTGAACTCAATTGGACATTCTGCATCTCCGCCCATGGCTAAGACCAGCCGTCAGGTACTTCGTCGACTGATGTCAGGTCTTCGTCTAGTCACCATCAAATCACTTCTAACCTAATCCAACTTTTGTGAACATTGCATGTAGTTGCAGGTGGTGGATCAACATGCGCAGTATATGTCCAAGGCATCTCAGTCGTCTGCAGAAGAGTAAATGAAGGAATATCATTGAGAAAATTTTATTTACTTCGCTAATTTTTCTCGTAAAAAGATGAAAAATTGAAAAAGAAATAGAATTTCTTTACTTTTGAAGCCAGGTAAACATACTGTCTCAAGAAAAGTGATAAATGGTCAACAAAGCGGTAGAATGAAGTTTGAATTAGGACCTAGAAATATATGGATGCATGATATTTCAGTTGAGGATCTTGGTCTAAATAAATTTATACGCATTGCTTCGCTTTTGCAAACTTAAAAGTCTACTTTTTCATGAATTTTTTCACCCACATAAGTTCACGTATAAAGTGTGGCAGGACATCAATTTCAGCATATGCCTCAAAAATGTATTCACGGAGGTAGCTTCTTTTCGTCAGCGAAACAAAAAGACAGATCAGTTCGCTTACTTCAAACCAGTTCTTTATTTGCCATAGACTCAGCAACAAATAAATTTGATATAACACCGATCTAGATTTTCCTTTGTTTTACATCAGAGAATTTCAATATGTGCTCAAATCAAGTCGAGTCCCATTTATATTACGTGGAACGTATACGCATGTGGTCAATTTCGGTTCGCTTCCTTTCGTAATTACCACATCTTAATAATTTCCACCCCCTGTAATTTCAAGATTTGTAGGTGAGCTGACTGGCCTTCTGTCATTACCTTGTTCCTGAAACTGACAAGTGAATTCAATGAACCATTGAAAAAATACATTAGTTGACATGAAAATGTAAAATATCCGTTGTATATCGTTCACTTATTCAGTATCTTTCGGTAAAATGATGTATATTTCTGCTTCATTAATTTCAGCCTTGTAACATTTACTATTCAAATTGAGAAAATGGAAATGGGAATAAGTATGACACAACTAACGCCTATGTACAAAATATTTAGTCCATTTGGTAAGTGAATAATGAGTTTACAACATGATGAATTATTCTTATAAATATATATATATATATAGTAAATTTTGGAAACTAATTATTTGCAAAATTCTCTCGTAATTTTTCTTCCTTCATCGACTAACTATGGAAACTGTTTTGCCGATCAAAAACTAATAAAAATGATAACAATATTCATGGAAAAAAACATATTTCCCTTCAAGAGCAACAAAGGATAAGTTTTTAACGTAAATGGTTTCTGTCATCGATTAAAATTATTATTATTATTTGTCCTTTGGGTTCCTAGTGGAGCATTGGACTTCAATAGCACGTTGCCATTTCACTCTGTTCTCTGCAGGCTTTTCAACCTGGCTCCACTACTGCAAATCACCTTTCATTTCTTCATCACACGATCTCCTTCGTGTCATACCCGGAAGCCCAACTCGTCGTTTCCCATCTGGATCCCACTCGACCGCCTGGCCTGTCGCGTAATATCCTGGAATGGTTTTCTCAGTGTATGTCCAATCCGACTCAACTTTCTTCCGCATATTTGTTGGGCGACAGGTTCTTGCTTCATTTGTTCGTTGTCAGCCAGAGTACCTTGTTACTTATTCTTATTATTCTCGCTATCTACCAGGTCTTTAGTATGGAGTGAGCGTAGGTGGCAGCTGTTGATTATTTATATCGGTAGTTTATTGGAAATGCTTTTCGTAACGCGCCAAGTCTCTCAACCATCACATAGAAGCATTGGCTTGACTGACATTAGTGTTGAAAACCCGGATACTCTGCTTTATGCCTAGGGCAGTGAGGTGCAGCAAATCTCCACACTGATTCCAGATTAATGAAAGAAGACCTGTCTTACTGTCTTTCAGATCCTATCTTTGACATCCTGACCTCAAACGATACTTCCTAGGTAGGTGAAAGAGACTACTTTCTTTAGGTTTCTCTTCTTGATGGTGATTGGTGCTTGTTGTTGTTGGCTGCGTATCTTCATCATCTCTGTCTTCTCTACATTCACCTGAAGTCCCGCCTTCCTTCGCTGCACTGCCTCTTCTGTCAACTTGTCAGTTTTTGCCTGTAGATCTTTAAGTTTGTGCCACAATATATTCAACATAAATCATCATCGGCAAAATACAAATCTTCTAGGGTCTTTTCATTGGCCAAACACCGTGTGCCTATCTTCTTGCTCCTCATAGTGGTCTGTTGCAAGATTCCGTTCAGTCCGGTACAGTCGATTATAATCAGGAAGATGATTGGTGATAATAGGTAGGTAACTTTGTCTAACTCCTGTCTTCGCTTCAAAGGCATCACTGATCTCTCCATTGTGAATCACTTGGCATGTAGCATCATATAACATAGCATATAGCCATTGAATGAGGTTGATAAAGTTGGTGCCTGTCAAATTACCCCTCGGTCGACGCAGTCGAAGGCTCTTTCAATGTCGATGAAGTTGAGGTAAAGAGTTGACTAATATTATCGATTAAGATTGAATATAATTTAAGCAAATAAGTAAATGTTATGGACGAATGGAGATCAAATCGAATGGAATGATGGAATTGTTATCAGTCTAATGTGTTGGTTGTGCAATGAAGTCGACACTCATAGAACAATTACGAAATGAGACGATAAAATCTACAGACGATGATTCATACTGGGTGATAATTGAAGGTGAGATGAAAATCTGGACCGCGGCCGGATTCAAACCACCGACCACAGGGTAGCCGGCCCGGTGCCCTATCAACTGAGCTACGAGGTCCGACTCCTGACCAGAATTTTATTTCACTTTCATAATTTATGTGCGTTTATTGGGGCATAAGTGTGTGTGTTTGTTTACTAAGGGTCAAATAATAATATATAGTGATGAGTTAAATTCAGGTGGGATGAAAATCATGTGTATACTATAACGAAACAGAGAATAACACATGTGAAGTGTTACATCATGGTTGAAAATGACCACTGGTTGTGTTATGAATAAAGAAGGGTGCAAAACTAATAACAAAGAAATGAATGTTTATCAATGTTATGAGAATACAGAAGAAAGGGGGGCGAGATTAAAATATGCAGTTTATGGTAGGAAACAGATTATAGATACTCATATATATACATGACTATATTTTACAAAGATTTTTCAAACATCCTTACAAGCACAGATTTTTTACCAACTATGCGTATAAAGGTTTCAAAAGATGTGTACCTCTGACGGTAGTAATGCTCATCATTAGACCATAGTAGTTATCATTTGACCAACCATGGAAGTAACTCAATCGTACAATTGGAAATATATCAAACGGAGCCTCATTACTGAAACATACTTCTATAATCATTTAGGCAGCTATGCTTTTCTTTTCTCTGTTAAAAGCAGTTAATTGACACATAGTTCTAAGCGACGAAACGGTTGATTTTAGTTTACGCAATATCTTTCAGCATCTGTCTTATAGTTTCAGTGATAGTATCGCAGTTACGTGGTTGAAATCTAACCACAATATAACTTCAGTTCTTAGATAAATATGCGTTTATTTCAAGTCTAGTGGTAGCCCTATGTGTGCAGAAGACTTACGAAAACGCACGTTCTTTCTTAAGATAACCAATCTAGAGGTGATTTATAAATTGCATAGTTTACAAGCTGAATTCATTCAGGTACACCGCTGATGAGATCACCTCAGAACGAGCGAAGCCACAGTCGGACGTTTGAATTACTCTGATCTGGCAGGTGAAATACTACAGTTGAGCGTGAGTGGCATTGAAATACTCAAGTTGTTTAGTAGCAGAATATTTCTCTAGTACATGACACTTTTGTTTCTAAGTTCAAATCAAGTGATCTTTGCTGCTCAGTGGTTTGTCTCTACTGGAAACCTTGATAACTGGCTCTACAGCTGAGCACTCTAAGAACTACTCATCCGTAAGAAATTTCATCTTGGACCATGAACTGTGCAATTTTAAGTCATTAACAAATTGATCATCCTATTTTCGGCCTACCGGTTCATGCAGTCAGTTAACCAAATTTATATCATCTGAAGTAATTCAGCCCTGTAAGCTGAGTTGTTTTGGGTGTACTGCTGATGAGCTGCGCCCCAAATAAACCTTAATGGCTTCTTGCTCCTCAAATTTCTCAGTAGTTTATTATATAACTTTATTATGACTTTTCATATCAAATTCCTAAAAGCCTTCCAAAGTATTTTTTGAATAGATTTTCTCATTCTAAGATTGATCCTTTTTGGCGACAGCATTTAGATCATCCGGAGATGAATATCTTACACAACTATTCTCCCTTCAGTTTCTTCAGCAGCTTTTGCAGAATTACTTAATGAGCATGAAGTTTAACCAGTGAATAACGCTTTTAAATAACTCCTGTTTCATTTTGATAAACCTGTCTCCATTTTTCTACTGTTCATATATCCCATCCATTGTTGTTTTCTAATCGTAGTAGTTAAGTAAATCCTAGTCATAAAACATCACATAGTATGTAGATAAATGAAAGTTACTTTTCAGTGCTCTAAAAACGTATTCAAAGATAAATTTGACATTTCCGTATCAAACATATGATGATTTATTGCCCGGTGGTTAAAACATTCAGAGCAGTCGATATTTCATCTAGATGATACACGTTAACTGATCTACCATTAGTACTGTTAAATACCTTGAAGTTTTACTTTGTTTGTATACAGTAGTTTCTCTTTTTTCATGATTTTGCATTTATGATACGTTACACTTATTTCTTTGAAATGCTGAATTCCTTTTGATTTACCTAGAAATCTCTTACATACATAACTGATCATGAAATGTTCTACTAGCGTTATGCAGATCCCATTTAATATGCTCCGATTACCTTCTGTATATATGAAAAGATGAAATGCTGACGCATGAGCAAATGAGATTTTTTTTCTCTTGAATATAAATATGTGATTTGTTTTGAACAAGCTGAAAAGTTGATCAGAACTTTGAATTACTCCACACGACTTACAACTCATGCAGATAAAACTTTGAAGGTGCAGCTTTTTATAAAACTTTTTCGTGTTATTGCTTTGAGTCTTAGTGGGAACAACATTACCCACTGGTAGGCAGCTGACGAGTCTGAAATAGGACGAAGCCAAAATGAGGCAGAAAATGTGTTTCATATCTGAGGAAAATTACTTTGTGATTTTATTTTTGCCAGAGCAAATATAAGAATAGAGTCGTACGTCAGGATTTCTGCATGATTACTTCCACAACTTGTTTTAGGTATTTACATCATTGGTAACTAAATGCCTGCTATGTTTTCACCGTCATTTCTGGTACAAGTATTTCGGTTAGCTAGTTTGTAGACCTGATTTATTGAGCTTAGAGTGCTAAAAGAATTCCAGAAACCCTTTTTCAAGCCAGTAGACTCACCATGATGGTGCATTTTAAGGGATGCTGGTTGGCAACGATCCGTAGATTGCACTGAACCTAGGTTTCAAGCTTGCTGGCAACCGTCAGTAAGACATACCTGCAACTTAGGCAGAACTGTCATCTTCTGTTAGATTCAGACTCACATCATCTGGTTTTGTAGACAGCAACGTTATTGCTGAGCTATTCGAGTGATCACATTGCAAAATAACTAATGGATTTCAGTCATCACTCAGGACTAGATAACATGAAATTGGCTGCTGTCTAGTATTCAACTATTGCGTCTAAGCAAGTCTAACAGGAAGACAGTCATGGCCGGAATAGCTCAGGGGTGACGTCCGTTACTACAACACTAAGTGACCCGAGTCTAAATCTCATGGAGGACATAACTTTCATCAAGGTTACAGATATGCCTTCATCTTGTGTGCCAACAAGCAGGGAACTCAAATGAGGCAGAATTTCTTTCCGACTGCTTCCAACCAACTAATGATTCGAATTCTTTAAGGTCTGATGAGTCTTCATATTCTTTCAAATCAGCTGTTCTCAGGAAGGATAAATGTGCTAAACCTGAGCTCTAGTAGTATGTTCACTCCAAAAGAAAAAACACTTGATTATTGGTACTCTGATGTCTATCATATCACATGAACTCAACACCACACTTGATATACTGTTTTGTTTGAATTCAACAAGACGCATAGAACATACACTTACTTTCCCTGTTTTGAAATCGCCTGACTACCGCATGAAGCATTTCATGTGAACACGAATTCATGAAGAATTTAGGCTATTCAGTATGAGTTTCTTCAAATACGTAATCATTAAAATCTTTCATATTGGAGTCATTCTCTCTAACTATATTGCTTTTTTGTCAACAAAAATAGGTGAGATCATGGGAATATGCTTTGGAACATTAAGTTTACTGATTCCAATCTGCTTAACAGTGGATTACTGTTTCTCCATGAAATGCAAATCATCACCGGACAGACATGAAAAGTCTATTCCATAGGATCAATACTAAGTAAGTTTGAAGGCATTTGTTTACCATTACCAAAACGTGATAATTCGTTTATTATTTACATCCCAACTAAGGTAAAGAAGCGGCGAATTAAACCGCAATAATTAACTAGAATTTCTGAAGTCAGTTTTTGCTATCGAAAAGAAATAACCATTCTAATAACAGTTACTAGGGAAGATTTTCACAAAAATCATTTAAAATTACTCTAAGAAAATGAACTCATCATTTCAAGAATAAGATAGATAATTTTGTGACTAGTGAGAACAATAATACCATAAAATTATCTGAGAGCCAGTATACAGCTCTTGAGTACACCTCATTGACCGCTTTTTGCAACGATCTCATCAACCTAGTAAGGTATAGAGAATTATACCTGTTTTGATGACTTCAATCAACAGAATAGACACAATATAATTTGCATGAAATGTTTCATTGTCAACACTATTTCAAGTAAACATTCAGTGTTCAAAATAGATGCGGATGCGAATTAACATTTAACTAAAAACTCCAGTTAAGTATCAATGTTTCGTCAGATTATACAGTCATAGATAAATAAGTTACGATGAAACACTAATCAACTTGTCAGAAAACATCAAAACAGATCAGTTTTCTCCTGAATCTACTAACATGTCTTGCTATTGAGAATAGTACATGATAGGTATGGTTTCTATAACTAGCCTGGAGTTATTTATGCAAAACACTGAACATTTCTATTGCTCTCAGTAGTGATAACTTGTTACACGATCACGCACTGATCAGAAATGCTACTAACTAGAATTTTGATCGAAGTCTAGAATAAAGATTTTGATCAAACTACACACATCTACATGAAGACAGTACAGCTTTCATTAAGCATTTCTTCGTTCACTAGTTTTGATCGATTTTTCGAGAAATGCTGTAAAAGTACTCAGCCGTTGAGCATATCATCAGAAGGTGGCTTATATAGTTCAAGGACCCATCGAAATATCTATCTCTTTTTGACCTATATTCAATTACTCAGTAACAGTGGAATGGATAACTACCTCTAGCAATCAAATTGAATCTAGTTAACAGCTTATGGAATTCACTTTGCCTGCAACGTTGTTTGCGTGAGTTGTGTCAACTTTCTTCATTGGATTGTTTCTCACGTTTATAAAGAAAGTTCACAAGATGATTTGCGTGAATAAATTACTCATGATTTTGTTAAAGTTGATAACTAGGTTGAAGGTCGAGCTGCATAAATGAGAGTTGAACAGATGAATGAGATCAGTTTCACTTTGCTGACAGACGTGTACACATGTTTGATATGTGTAGCATAAAGTGAAGGAATGACAATGTAATTTCAACACTTTCCATCACCTAGAGACATTCAGCATTGAACTAATATCCCTGTCTTTTCCGAAAAGTATATGGCAGTGTGTGATGATGAATGCATGTCTAGCAAATATAGGATTTGAGGTTCATACACTCGAACCAAATCCGAAAGACCACAATGCTTAGAATTTTTCTCTTCAAGACATGATACAGCTGTCAAGCAAACTTTTCAGGAGGTGCCATCCAAACTGTGGACCACGGAACTCCCAATCAGTGGCTTAATGGTTGATGCAATCGGCATGAAACCTGGAGGTCGTTAGTCCGATCCATATCTGGGAGGTTAGCAGTCCCATAGTAGGACAAAATGGCTAACCAGTGCTCCCAGTTTACCAATGGTCTCCCTACTAATGTCAGTTTGTGATGAATACTGTCATGAAATAAAATTAGATCCTGATAATCTCCAAAGTACACCAGTTTCAATACATCAGAGAATTGCACAATGCAGAGACCTTCCCTGATTATTTCAAGGGAAGTTATTTGTTCTTCGGAAAGTAACTAATATTGTCACTTCTACTTAAAATCATATTAGAAGCTGTTGTTAGTATTATTCTTTGCTTAGCTTGTATCACTGTGTATTTTGAATTTGTAATCATATGAGTATTATGATGAAGAATCATGAAGAGCTGTCATTTTCAAGTTGTAGTAACACTAGAAAACCACGGAATGCCAAGTCCCCCTTCCTCCCACTTGATCGGTCTGGAAAGTATCAGCCGTCACTACTATATTAGTTGAAAACTTATAGAACTATCATTCTGAATGTTGTTTTTGGGTATTTCAGCAGCAGGGTCATCTTAATCTTCGTATCCCAGTTAAAGTTGAGTTCGAGTGCTGAGGAGTAGGCTTAAGTTTGATTGTCATAGCTGTTTGTTACTAACGATAATGTTGAGAAATATTCACGATGATCAATCTTCTCCAAATCGCATAGTCCACAGTTTGTCTAGAAATAAATAGATTAATTAAAGTAGTTTTTGAAATTTTCAATGCCTTAGAGTGACGATTTGACCAAGTTTATTATGAGCGGTCATCCTTCGAAGAAACCTCTTTACTTTCTGAAGACAAATTGAAGTTACCAGCCAATCACTCCAGTAGCTTTGAGTTTACCAACTCCTCAAATGACAACCCAACAGTGGTGCAGTTCATTGCACCTGTTATATCTCCTACTTGCCATTTTGGTCGTTTTTACTAACGTTATCCTCGGTTTAAGCATCTTAATGAGTCACATGATAAACTAAATGATGTAAAACGTCGTACACTGCTCTTAATGATTTTCATCCCCCTAGTTACCATCTCCAAGTTTGTCTTACTACCACTGACGTCACACCAGCTGAATCAGAGAGAAGATCACTGTAGACCTATACAAAACGAAAGTTTATTGCACTTAGCAAAATATGCGAAAAATTCACTAGGCCTTAAAAACGTAGATAGCCGAATTGAAAACGTCAACGTATGAATCCTGAAGATATACACATCAAGGACATTCGTGGGTGACTGGTTGTTACTCAGATTCTTTTTGAAGCAGAATACAACAAAAAATCTTAATCGCAAGCAATGATAGGTGACTGAACCTATTTAAATACAATTCCGGAAGAAACTTTTCACAAAGCACACCACATCCTTCCTGTTTTCATGACTAGGTGACTTTAAAAGTGAATATTTCGGTTAATTCTAGTTTTCGACCATTCCTAGATATTTGACAGCATGACTTCAGGCTAATCTGCTACTTTGGGATCAGATACGTTGGCTGGAAACATGTTACAAATCAAAAAATAGAAATTTTAAATAATACATAGTAATAGAATGCTTTTTGTTGTTTACACATTGAGCCTGTCACACACTCTGTTCTTCCGTGCCTAACATGCACTTGTTTAAACTGTTGTATCAGTTACCAACTAAAAGTGTTTACTTTATTCTGATCCCTCAAATGGTTTCCTTTGACGAAATCTTTTAACTACTTTAAAAGTACAAGCTTATAGAAATCCCACTGTGAATAGTCTATTTGTATGTTTGAACACATCGATTGTATGTGAAAGCCGAATGCGATAAAAGTTTAACACTTTAATGTAAGAGCAAAACAGCAGTATACACCCATTTATCATCGGAAAAGATAAGATGGGGTTGCAACGAAGAAAAATTTTCCTCTTCGACGAAGTCATTGATACATTCACGAATATATGTTACAGTGGGCAGAACGTTACAGAATAATTTCCGGTTACGTCTGATGTCGCACAAACTCGGAATTTGACAGGCGAAAACTAACAAGTTGACAGAAGAAGCAGAGAAAACGGGACCTTCAGTGAATGCAGAGAAGACAGAGGTGATGAAAATACCCAACCAACAGCTGCATCAATAACAAACACCAATCACTATCAGCGGGAGAAACCTAAAGGAAGTAGTCTCTTTCACCTACCTACCTAGGCAGCATCGTTTCAACTACAGGTGGCGGCACGGATGACGATGTCAAAACCAGGATTGAAAAAGCAAGACAAGCTTTCATTAATCTAAAATGAGTGTGGAGATCTATTGCACTCAACAGAAAGCGTAAAAAACATCCTGATTTTCAACACCGATCCAGTCAAGTCAGTGTTTCTATGTGGTTCAGAGACTTCACGCGTCACGAAAAGCACTTCCAACAAACTACAGACATTCATCAACAGCTGCCTACGCTCACTCGATACTGAAGATCAGATGAGAAGGCCAGAAAGAATAAACAATAAGGAACTAATGGAACGAACCAACCAAGAACCTATCGGCCAACAAGTATGCAGAAGAAGGTAGAGATGGATTGGGCATGCACTGAGACCATTCGGGGACATCACGTGCCAGGCCAGGCCGTCGAGTAGAAGCTAAATGGGAAACGACGAGTTGGTCTTTGGAGGGTGATATGGAGGAGATGGTGTGAGGAAGAAATGAGAGCTTGTGGGCAGCCATGGTGTCAGATCCAAATGACTGCAGAGAAGAGAGTGAAATGGAGGCGTGCTACTGTAGCTTTATGTTCCACTAGGAACCCAAAGGAAAAATAATAATAAATAAGGAAGAACAATATAGTGAATAACCAAAGAAGGTTAGTTAATGCATATTTGGGTTTAGAGTGGAAAAACAGACAGGGGATTATGAAATTAAAGGTAATCATGCAATAAAGGATGAATGTATTGCAAAGTATAAGTAAGTGTAAAATTTGGGCACTGTTGTAGAATTTAATTCCATATCAGATTTGTTTATTTGATTTATAACAGTCATACAGTATTATATACTTAATGACGTAGTCAGCATAAATTACCATTACTCATAGTCATGCTTTCAGCATCTGATTTTTATAGCACTGTCATCTCTTATTCTTTGTTTCTAATAGTAGTACGGTTATCCATATCTCCGGTATAGGTATTGTGTCATTCTTATTACACGTGTTGGGTGTTGATCCGATGAACAAAGATTCAGTGATCCTTCTCCATCTCCACCTCAATACATTGAACTTAAGTATAGTGGTTTTATCCCACCCTATTTTATGGTTTTGTGTTAATGCGTGCAATGTGTGTTATAAATCAAATAAACAAATCTAATATAGAGCTTAACACTTTATTGGTTTCATATAACCGTCTCTGTACCACTTGCTTACAAAACATTTTCATCCATTCATCTGACAAGTGAGCGAT